GCGCGCGTGCGTCCCGCTGCCCCGCACTCCTATGCCTGCGCGGTTTCGGACGCCGACCGCGTGACCATCACCCGCGCGCCCAGATCGCCCTCCGCTCGCTGCCCGCGCGTACCTCCCATCGCCCGTGGCCTGCTCGCCTACCGCGCACCCGCGTTCACCCGCGTACACCCGCGTGCTGGCCACTAGCCCTCGCGCATCACCGCCCGATGCGCACCTTCCGCCTGTTCGATCAACGGTCACCCCCGACCATCCGTCGGCCTCGACGACCACTTCCGTATCACACCTCCATGGCGTTATGCATCGTGTCCGGCCGCTCCAGTCGGACTTCTGCGGCTAGATCGAATCTCAGTCCAGCTATGAAGGCCCCTACTAGCGCATCTTCAGACCAATCTCGCACGCGACAGGCCAGTCGTTCAAACTCCTTGATGTATTCACGCAAATTGTCTGTCTGACGGATTCGCGCGAGCGCCTCATTATAATTATGGTAATCGGACGTGCCAAATCGAGTAAGCAATTCTCTCTCAAAATCAGCCCATGTAATAACCTGCTACCGCCTACGGTAGATCCGGGAAAGCCACTGCCACCATACGTTGGCCTCACCATCTAAGTAGAATGCTGCGTACCTTACTCGATCGTGGCCATCAGTTTCATTCAGTTCGAAATATTGCGCGATTCGGTTGAGCCACGACTCCGGATCACTACCCGTGAAGATGGACATTACGAACCTCGGCTTGTCGGGCTTAGGCCGCTCACGGTTGGTGGATGCTTGTGATCGCCGGTCGAACTCATCCTCGTGCTCGTAACCTCCGCGTCGCCGGTCCTCGTCGTGTTCGCGCGCACGTCGTTGCTCGCGTCGATCCTCGCGCCGTGGCGATGGCGTGCGATCGGCGTGCTCGGCGTGCGGGCGCGGTTCGCGCCTTGGAGGATAATCGCGATGATGTGGGGGTTGCTGCTGGAACGCGCGCAAGACCTCCTCTAATCGCTGTTCGAGTCGTGTGACAACAGCGTTGGTGTTGTTTTGACTTTCGTCAAGCGATCCCAACCTTCCTTCCATAACCTCGCTCATACTTCGCATCTGGATGTCAAGATTATCGATCTTATCCTTCATCTCCTTATTGGCCATGGCTTTTCTTTCTTCTCTCTGCTCTTTGCTTTGTGGACTCGTGGTGGAAGACGATGGTGATGATGATGAACGAAATATATATATATATTTATTTTATTTTATTTTTGATAAGGGGGGACGAAAAATTGAAGAGAAAAAGAAAGGGAATGGGATAGAAGAAAAACACACGATCAACACCTCTCAATGAAAGCACCAATGATGAGGATCGTGTGTTTCGACTGCCGATAAGCCGCTAACCCGCGCCTTGAATCGCCGATAGTGTTCTTCGAGCCACAACAGCGCCTCTAGGAACGAATAAAATTGCAATAGTATTCTGGTGAAAAGACTAAAACAAAGTTGGAAGAACAATGTTCTAGATTTCGATTAACTTCTTGGATGATTCAATTAACATGGGGGGTTGGTCCTTTATATAGGCACCAAATTATATCTAGTCCTAATCTACCTAGGGAAATAATAAGCAATAAAATATTAGGAATCCTAAACAAGCTAGAAAATATAATGCTAGTTGGAAACTAGATCTCTTGGTGTGCACTCCAAGCAATTCTCTCTCTCTCTCATACTCTTGCGCACGCACGCCTTAGGTCGGTTGCCGCCATCACCCATGCCCTAGTCCTCGAGGACTAGGGCTCCGTCCCTCTCGCGCGCGTGTCGCCCATCCGGCGTGCTACCCGCC